TTTTCTTTTCTTTTCTTTTTCAACGGTATGTTTGAGGTCTCATGCTAATGGTCATGTTAGATACTGGGAGGTGAATTACATCGACGTCTACGAAAAACGCCACTGGAAAAAATCAGCAGAACCAACCACCACAACCACCCTTCAGACGACGTCAACCGTCACTCACACCGTATTCCTTGGCACCACAGCCGCCCAAAACGGCTCATCGTCGAGCTCAGGCCAGGACGCCATTGTGCCCGAGCATGATCCTGCCACCATTGGCGAGTACGCCAACCTCGGCTGCGTCTCGTCGGAAAACGGATTCGCGACGTTCGAGTTTGTAGGGGCCGATAGCGGCATGACCCCTGAGATGTGTGTTGGCCGGTGCACTCCTTCGCGGTACGCCGGTGTCCACCATGAGTACGTTGAAACCCTTCCCCATTCCACGAGAGAGAGAGAGAGAGAAAGACAACGAAAACTGGTCAGACTAACTGAATGTCATCAGTCAATGCATCTGCGCCGACGAACTAGACGGCTCCACCCGTGCCACTTCCGACCGCACCCAATGCGACATCCCCTGCCCCGGCAACGAGGACGAGTTCTGCGGCGGCATCGCCTCGTCGCCATCGCCTTCCCAGCCGCAACGCCGGCAAAACGGAGGCTTCAATGCCGACGCCGCCACGCTGATCAACTTGTACGGCATGGTCGGGGGGCGGAACGACACCCCCGCCCTGGGTCCAGGCCTAGGCCGCAACCAGGCCGAACAAGAAGACGAAGATCAGGTGCAGGAGGGAGACGACTTCGTCGACGACGTCAGGACGACGACCATGGTCCAACCACCTCCCGCGCAAACTCCTTCTCCAGAGCCGGAGTTTGTCGTGGTGAATGCTGCACCCGTAACGAAACGGGGCTTCATCATTTGGCTTCCCGCAGTGTTGGCGATTATTCGATTACTGATGTGAAAGCGATATACCATGGCATTAGCATAGACTGGGCAACCAGAGCCGCGAATACCACTTTTTGTTTAGATATCCCTGTCTGATTTGGAAGCGCTGCGAGGAGGTCATTGCAGGTTGCATTCGCCATTGCATTTCTTTTTTCTTTTTTTTTGGGGGGGGGGGTTGGGGTTTGGCATACTCATACACCCAATAGAGCGGGCATTGCATTGTATCTACAGACTTTTCTGTCCATAGATAGAAAAATCATACTCTTTTACTCATTGAGAAGCAATTGTTGAGTTTGTCACCGGCCAGTTCATGATATGTGCGCACTTCGTTTTCGTTTTCTTCTTCTTTTCTTTTACGACACGAGGAGGATCTTAGGGGCGAACACAATAAGGGGCTCTTAGCATTAGAATCACAAGTCAACGACCTGGACGGGGTTTCCGATCTTGCCGGTATTTCCCTTCATCAAGGCCGCGTTGACCAACAGTGTGCCTCCCGTGTTGCCGCCCGGGCCCAGCATCAGCCACTTGAACAGGACCGCATGGACGCCATAGAGCACGACGCGCAAGGCATCAAGCCAGGCGCCGGAGGGCACGAGATCCCAGAAGATCGATGGAGCGGGGCGGGCCATGAGGGATTCGTAGGCTTTCTGACAGGCGTCGAAGTGCATGGCCCGCCGGCCTGCGCCCCAGTGAACGTGGCCGAAGACGTGGAGGCGCGGCCGGACGCGCCAGACCTCCTCTCGGAGAGCAGGGCAGCCGAGGGTCCTGAGATCGAGGTGGGCGAGAGGCGGCGTGTGAGTCACGAGGACGTCCGTGTCGGCGGGTACGGAGTTGGGCCAGGGCGTGGAGCCGGAACCGAGATCGTACTGGAAAGCAAAGTCGGGGCCGCCGCAGCGAGGGATGTCCGCGGCACCGTAGAGCTTGAGGGTCCGTCCGCTGGGGAAGGACAGGGTCACGGAATCGTGTTGGAGGTAGTGGATCCCTTTGAAGTCCAGGGTGCGCCTGAAGGTGCGGTCCGCGAGAGACTTCGACTGAGGGTCAAAGTATGAATCGTGGTTGCCGGCGATGAGGACCTTGTGGCGGTGGGGTTGAGCGGCGAGCCAGTCGATCTGGGCCTGAATGTCTGCGACGGTACCTGCATTGGTCAGGTCACCGGCATGAATGAGGAGATCCCCTGGTGGGATCTTCACCGAAGTTTGGTCGTGCGTATCAGATAGACAGACGATGCGTATGGGATGCTGAGGGGGTTTTGGGAAGGGGCGGCCGCGAAGGAGTAGTAGTAAGGAGTAAAAGGCCGAAATGAGGGCCTGGAGGGGAGAAGTGAGGATGTTGTCGAGGAGAGTCCGGGGATTGAACTTGCTCCGCCGACGAAGGCGGAAACCCCGAAGCAGGCCCATTGTATTGTGAGGGGAGCGAGAGCAATCGAATGGAGCGTCTGATATGCTGATTGTTTGTTCAACCGTTTTATGACAAGGATGCTGGGCTGCAGGTTCTGAGATGCTAAATGCTAGGAAGCTAGTGCATTGGTGGTGGTGGTGGTGGTGGTGGTGGTAGTGGTGGTGTTCTTGGTTGGTGCTTCGGGGCGCTGAAGAGGCAAAAAGGGCGAGTTGACAGCTGATAAAAATGTAAAAAGGAGTGAAAAATAAATACATAAATCATACGTGGGTGTCTGCGATAGTACGTAGCTGAGGTAGTTGCGAGAGTGAGACCTGTAAAGACCCCCCCATGATGATGTTTGTTGGTACACGAATAACGGATGGAAAGATCAAAATGCACGGACCAAAATACCCGCCATTTTGCCATAGCTCATGAAAGCACGTTCGTGATTGGATGAATGCTCCACTTTTCTCGAAGCGAAGTGGATCATTGTAAAGGGCCATTTCAGCTGGAGCTTGTTCCGTGGGAATGACGTTGCTCGTGGTATCTGACGATAACTTGCCCGCTAAAAAAGCAAGCGCTCAGCTGCTTGCTTCGTGCCTCCTCCTCTCTGTTGCACATCGGGGTTTAGGCGTCATACCTCAGTTGGGATTCTCCGCTTATTAGAACAGGCAGTGCCATTCCCCAAGTCACATCCCGTCGTCATCGTTTGATCGTTCTTCAACTCCGCTCAATTGTGTAGTGCATCGATTCCTTCTATCCCTTCTTCCCGGCTTCGAATATCCACCCTCTTTCGTCAAAGCATCTTGTTCCAAAGCACTTTGATAGCGCAACTCAACCAAGAACAACAACCTCCCGGTATCCCGTACACAACTACCCCTCCACCGCCACCGTTGCGGGCATCCTCCATTACCTTGTTTTGGCGCCAACGCCAACCCGCAGCCATGGCGAGCTTCAAGAACCTCTACAGTAACAGGAAGCTTGATCCAGGGTTCGATTCCAACTTTAGTGTTGACTATGTGATTCCCTATAATATTCCGGAAGAAGGTCGGTCAAGCCTTGACTTCCCC